TTATTTAATTTCATATCATAACTCACTTGGATTAGGAAAATTTTTATGAGAAAAATTTTAGGAATTATAAACACTTTTTTGGGATTGTCATGTTCTGATCATCATATTTTTACTTGTTGGTAAATGGAGCCACAAGTGATGTCGAACCTAGTACATGTGAGCAGGTTGCTGGTATTTGATTTGCCAGCTCCACCAGAAAGCTCACTCTAGATTCTCTGATTACTTTCACCTAAATCAGGAATATACTATTGCAGTTTTAGGATACTCTGCAAATAAGTGATCATGATTTTATGTGAATCATCTGGGCAGACGCCTGCTTTTATATTTGTAGATGAAATGATGCTATTGCTGGAAGGCATGCAAGAAAGGATCCTTGAAGAAGGGCCACATTTGAGGGTGTAATCGCACAGCTTGATGGGGAGTAAGTACATCTGTTTATACCGGTGTGAAACAAGTAATCTTACATTAACAGGTCTAATTTAAATATTGATGCATATATATATATATATATATATATATATTAACCCTTAATTTATTTGAACGGAGACTACAGAATATGGGTCCTCTTAAGTTTTGAAACTTGAGAGAGTTAACTGATTGACTAAAACTTGAAGGTGTCACAAACTTTTCACAATTTTTAATAATTTTCTTTTGACTTCAAAATTTAACTTTCCACAAGAGAGCCTTCTTCCGTTCTTCGAAGTTTCATAAATAACTTTTAATATATATACTTTTTTGTTGTCAAATAAATTCTATTGACTTGACTTTCCCTTTGGGTGATATTAAATTATGAATATTTTTACTATATATTTTTCCATCATTTGATCTTCATTAAATTTATTTAGGTATAAGGTGTGTGAAAGGTAGACCTGGCAAACGGGCAGGTCGGGTAGCTGCGGGTAAAATGGGTACAGGTCCACGGGTAGGAAAATGCATGACCTGTACCTGCCCATACGGGTATGGTTCTGCCCATGGGTCACCCACAAAAATGCAGTTTTTTTTCAAGACTCTACTCTCCTTCCTCTTCGCCACCACCAGCATCAATGCAACAATCCCATCCCCAACTCACCGAGTAAACTCGACAAAGTCATGCTCAACCAGCCCACCACCCAACTCTCTTCGAAATGATGTCCCATGAACATATACACAAGACCAACATACCCAGCAAATCCCAATCAAGAATCTTTAAGACTTTTATCAGCCTTTAAAAATCCTAAAGGCCCTGGTAATGGTTTGAGTTATGTTGAGCTGGGACCAGGTGATGTGAGGCTCACAGTGGTTGGTAAAGATGGGTTTAGAGTGTGTGTGGATGTTCACAAGAAAATTTTGGCTGAAAAGAGCAGGTTTTTTGCCGAAAAATTGGCGAGAAAAGATAAAGAAAACATAGAGATTTTGCATACGGTGGAGATAAGCGAGTGTGATGACATGGAGGTGTATGTGGAAACAGTGGTGTTGATGTATTGTGAGGACTTGAAGAAGGGATTGCTTGGTGAGGACCTTGACAGGGTCTTGGCTTTGCTCAAGGTAATTGCACAGGTTTTTATTGTTACTGCATGCTTGCATTGTCTTTTTCCTTTTTACTGAATTTTGTATTTTTTGTGTTTACTGGATGAAATAATGCAAATCAGTATTGGCCAAATGAGCGTGAGAGAGATGGCTGCGTGAGAGTCTTGAGAGAGATGGCTACGTGAAATTAGGAGAGATTGAGAGAAGAGATGGAGAGAAATGGCGTCGGTCTGTGACTGTGAGAGAGATGGCGAAAATGGAATTGGGTTTGGGTGTTTAGTTAATTGAATTTAGGGTTTTAATTTTTGTATGATTTTTTTTTTTTTTAAATAAAATGCGGGTACCTGTGAGCATTATCCAACCCACCCACACTTTTTACAGGTAGGTTGTGTACGGGTAACTTTTATACGGGTAAATTTTAGAGGTACCTGTACATGTCCTTTTGATGCGGGTACCCATTGAACCACGGGTACATGTACCTTTTTGCCAAGTCTAGTGAAAGGTGTAAAACAACAAAATTGTACGTGTGAAAAATAACAAAAACCCATAGGTAGGTTTTTCACATACGCACAAAATTGAAAAGTATTAAATCAAAATAAACTAGTATTAATTAATTAGTTAAGCATGAGATGGTCTGATCGTATAAATAATAACTCCATATTCAAGTGTGCCTTACACGCCGTCGAATTGTAGTCTCAATCTCAATTTTTATTTATGCTTTTAAAATTATAGATTACAATGAAAATAAAGTAATGAACAGAGAATACAAAAATTGAAAAAATGGAAAAAAGTGGTGAGACAATTATTGATTGGCTCCACCCAACTATGAGCGTCTCCACCATCATCAGCGGTTTCTCTAAACGAGAATTTTTTGAGATTCATAAATTTTGAAGTTAAACCACTTAATTTCCTCGATATTTCCTTCACAACATCTTCGATTAATTCTGGTTTATACCTCCAAAATAATCAATTAACATTCATTATATTTACAGTAATCAATAACAAATTGCATATATGTTATACGGAATTTCACTGAGAGAGAAAGAAAGTACACATTTAATCTAATATATTGAGGCAAATCAAATTAATAAACCACAAGGAATTAAAATCAGTTACAACCTTACTTTTATTTTCTCTCAATCACCCCCCTCATCTTATCCCAAAATACAATTTAATTCTCATCTCCTGCTAAATTTGGTAACTATGTGATTAAACTACATTTACACCTCCTATATATCATGCATGTTATCTCCACTATTTATTATATTATATTGAGTATTGACTACTAATTATACATTATATTCATATTCATCATATTCATACTACTAATTAACTAACCATCTCAAATTCCTTTTCATATGATTCATGTATCGCATCTCCCCAAGACATCCACTAGCCTAAATTCTGAACTAGCTACTTCCATTGAAAATATTGCAAGAATTAACAAAATATTCATACTACTAACTAACTAATTCAAATCCCAAGCTTCAAGGCTAAATTTTTTTCTTTCAATTTCCATGATAAATTCTACCTTCCTACCTTCTGTAAACTACTATTGCACTTATAAACAATTCACTCCTACATTAATTCATAATTCTTTCAATTTTATAAAGCTCTAACAAGAAATAAATGTTTCGTACCTTTTTTTTCAATTCCCATCCAGGGAGATTAATCACCTCCATCAAAGCCTTCCTCCATGTTTCCACCTTTTCTATGACACGATCCGTCCCGACCCTCCTTATCCCATAGGCTCCGGATGCACCCATGAGACTCAGGTGACCGAAACGTACCATGTGAGAAAACTATGAAACTTGTTTATGAATTAAAACATCATAAATCTCTTCTAGCTAAAAAAATTTATAAGCACTTCTTTTTGTTTCTCACAAATAAATATAACATCATTTGTAAATAAACAAATGCAATTGAATTTTTACAAAATGAAACGTATAGTATCAAATTTTTCCATATCTTTTACAATCCAAAACATGAAATAATACATGATGAAGAAACATAAACTTTGCAGCAGAAAATAAAACACAACTATGACACATATGATGAAATGACACATATGACGACATTCTTTTGGACGCATTAAATGCAGTTGAGATAATTACGCTGGCGATTGCAATTCTCGATAAAGGCTATCATCGATTGGTTTCTGGTAAGACGTGGGAGTTAATCTTCCTGTGGATTGATGATACGTGGCCGTGATCTACGGTTAAGAATTAACTCCCGCCCAAACCTTGCTTATAAAAGATAACTGTATCGTCACCTTATTCACCTTAAACCCTAATTCTACCCTAATTTTCTAAGAACTTCAAATTTTTCCAGAGAGAAAACTTCATTTTCTTGCTCTCAAAAACTCTACCTTCTCACCCAGTTGATGTGAATTCAACCTACCTTAGAATACCTATCTCTGGCAACTTTTAAGGTACAGAAATTTCTTTTCTTTTACTCATTTTATCATTTTTTTTAATTATTTTTACAGTCATGGCAGTTTGTGGGTATCAGGTAGGGTGGGTTGCATTTCTGAGTTGTGCTCGAGAGAGTCACATGAAGGCTTAGAAGCTTAGGGTAAACAGTCATGGTGGGCCTTTTTTAGGAGTTTTTACGATTAGTAGCAAGTCGGCCATGGCAAAAACCATTGAGCTTTCTTCTTCTTCTTCTGAGTCGTCCTTCGAGATAGATTTTTAGGGGTTTGAATCCCCTTTGGTTGTCGTCTCTTTATAGACAGTTGAATCAGTGGAGTTTTCAAGTGGTTACCGGAGTGAGTAGACACTAAGAGTCGAAATGGGGAAGTCTAGTGGAGAAAGCACATACCAACTTGGTACCTCCTCCAAGGGACTTGGAAACCCAAAGTTTGCTAGGTCCACGATCTCAGCAAAAACAATGCAGAGGATCGCAAACCAATATGCGATCTTAGAGGACTTATATAGAAAAAGAGAGTTTACGGCTCAGAATCCTCCTTAGGGGATGGCTATGATCTTTGAAGCGATCTTCAAGTGTGGGATTTTAATTCCATTCCACCCCTTCATCAGGTAGACACTCGATCAGTTCATGATCATACCCTTCCAGTTGATGTGGAATGGATATATCATGGTAGTAGCAATGTATATCTCGTTCTACGAAAATGACCTTGGAGATCCAATAGTGCTGGAGCTCGCATGCACTTACACACTAAAGAAGAGCAAAGATAAAGACTCGTACTACCTCTCCAAACGATCAACGATCGAGGGAGGATTATTTGGTTATCTTAGTAACACGGGAGCTTATGAAACCAAATATTTTTTCTTTAAGTACGATAGGTTCTGTAAATTTCAGGAACCGGTTTTCCTTTTTGTTTTCAGGTCCCTTGTCTTTTTCCTTGTTCTTTTATTTGAATGTAGACTAATGAGCTCTTTTCTTGTGCAAAAAACAAAGTGACTAAATTAAGGCTGTTAGAGGATCAAAATCATATTTAAGCTTTTGGTCACCTTCGAGAGAATAGTCGCGACATGAAGTTGCTTGTTACGATTGAGAATCTCAAGAAGCACGGTTTCTTTCCTGTTGACGCATACTTGGACGCTTCAACTTGTAAGCTTGATTTCTGCCAAAGACATAGTCTTTTGTTTGTTCTTTTTTTTAATGTTGTTCGCTGATTGTACTTGCTTTTTGATGATGCATCCATGCAGCTAAAGAAATTTAAAAGAATAGCGAGGATCACTTTCCCCAGAATGTTCAAGGAGTCTTGAGTTGAAGTGACTTCGATTGATGTCCTTGTAGCAAAGACTCAGACTGGTGTTGAAAAGCACCCAGAAGAGAAGCAAACTGCTGAAGCTCCTCAACCTAGGGTAGAACACCCAATGAAGAAGAAGACTACGACCTCGAAGAAGACTACAACCTCGAAGAAGAGGAAGAAGATAATAGCAGAGAGGTCCGAATCTTCTTCAAAAGGCCTTGAGGTAGTGCCTACCACAACTACCCCTACTTCGAAGGCCCCTCCGAAGGACGTGCTAGAGGCAACTTAAGAAAAAGATAGAGAGGCCGCTTAAGGCAAGGCCGATGATACTTCCGAGCTGAAGGGTCACAACGAGTCCATCTTAGACCTCTTCAGGAAGTTCCCCAATCACCTGCAACTTCTACTTTTCATTATGTTAGAGTGTCGGCTGGAAACGACCTTCGAGAGGTACATGAAGTCCAAGCCTTCTTATCTTTTGGTCACAACACTTTAGATACAAAATCAGGTAAAGCATTTCTCTCTTTGTGATCTCCAATATGCTTGATCAAAATTTTCCTTTTTATGACTAACTCTTATTCATTCTCTTTGGTAGGCCATTCTTGCCTTAAACATTGCCCATAACAAGATGAAAATCTCCTCCGGAGAGAAAACTTACGAAATGAAAGAAATGAAAGAAATGAAAGAAATGAAAGAGGAGATCATCAAGTTGAGGCAGGCCTTTACAGAAATAAATGTATTTGCAAGGGAGACTCAACATTTGGTAGATACACGTTTGGAACAAAGAGAAGCTGCTCTAAAAACAGTGGAATTTCATAAGCAAGAGCTTCAAAAAAAGGAAGACTTGATCAAAGAGCTTCAGTTGACTATGGCGAGGCTCACTAGGGATTTGAGCTCAAGAGAAACAAATCTTCAAGAGAGAGAAAAGGAACTGCAAGAGAGCATAAGCCATGAGAAGGATATTGAAGCATCTCGGGCCAAAATGTGGGCGACCATAGAGAAAAAAATTAGAGAGAAAGACCAAGAGCTGAAGGTCGTTTGCAATCAAGTCTCCTCATTGATTGAGCAGTTGCAGCAAGTCAACATTGAGGTAGAGAAGAAGGCTAGGGAATGGTCGCTACAGGTTATAAACAAACTGCGGGAGGACAACTTAGATAGAACCTCTCTTCTCTTCTTGAAGAGTATCAAGAAGCTTTTTTGTTGATGCAGTTTGCTCAAGCTAAAGAAGAAAGAGAAGACCAAGAACTTCGCAAGGTGGGGGATCATCGAGAACAAGAGAACCTTGAAGGTCGAGCTACCGATCCTGAGGTTAGAGCGATAGAAGCCAGAGTTCCCGAAGATCAAGAGAAGTGATCGTCCTCCCTTTTGCTCGCTCTAGAGAAACTTTTTTCTCTTTACTTTTTGTAGGTCTCTAAACTTCCTTCATGCACATATTTTTTAATATATATGCAAACTTTTTTATCATTTGTGATAGCACTTTTATAGTTTAAGCACTTCACTAAATGAGTACAATTCCTCTGATCACATAACTTATACAATATTGTAAATAACAAGATTATAAAGACTTGATATAATGACACAAGTAATTATTAAAGAAGAATAAGAATAATCTTATTGATAAAATTTACAAGTACAAGACATCGTAAAAATTATAAAAGAACTTGGAATTTACTGATAATAAGATTGTAGATGCTCAGCATTCCAAGCTCGTTCCTCCTTCTAGCATCAAACTGTTGACGCGTGATTTTAACACCAACGACTTCACATGTACAAAATGCTAAGAAGTCACACGTGAGACGATTGTAGTAAATAGGTAAGGTACTATTTTCATAGTAGTATGCAAAGACGTAAATAGTAAATGAGACAGCAAGTTTTTTATAGTGGTTCAGATACTTAAAGCGAATCCTACATCCACTGTATTCTTTTATATGAGTATGTTCCTGTTCGTTAGCCAAGATTACAAGAGGTCACGAACTGCGATCTGGTATTACAAGTGCTTGGGGTTCTAAGTGTTCGTAGAGAATGTCAAGCCAATCTCTTTCTAATAGTGTGTCTTTGCTACTTTCTTTGTTGAATTTAGAAGTGTTTGATCCCCATTTTGTGAGGGAGAGCTGCCTATATATACCCGTTGTGCTCAAGGTAATGATTACACTTTTGCAAGTGGCCTGTTGCCATGCAAATCTCTCCCGTCTTCCTATTCACTAAAAACTCAAAGAATATCCTTACATTAAATGGGGCTTGGATAGGTGTGCGAACCAAATTCATTCATAGACAAATATTTGAGTCGGCTGGGTTGTTGACAATTTTATTCCTTCTACCTTTGGAGATGTGGCAGGTTCTGGACAGTGAGAAGCTTCTATGAATACTAATTGGGGCTTGATGACGTCAGCATAGGTCAGCCTTTATTTTAGGCATAACACCTTCATTTTGAAAATAAAACACATTATATTAAGTATGCATATTTTTACTAACACAATTTTCTCATATTAGAAAGATTCATATATTTTATGAATACTTGATATTTTTTTTAGCTTGCTCAAAATTGATTCATGATTTCGCTTCTCCTGTATTGTCTATGCTATTGTTATAATAATAAAAAAGATTGCCAATCCTATTGTTATAATAGTAAAAAAGATTAATGATTGTATGGGCCAAAAATCGTCTTGGGCCCCATCAGGCCTAAACATGAAACACCTATTATGTGGCCCAAGGCTATGGCCCAATTCCTGTTGGGCCTATGCCAAGATCCATATTAGGGTTCAGCTCATTGCACCAACTAGACAATTAACTAGTTGGATTCTCCAAACACTAAGGCCTTGCCTCCAATTGGGCCTTATCACTAGTCCACTTGCACATAGGCCCATCGACCCAAGATCACTCCAAGAACCCAAAGTTCCACTTAAACCCTATTTTTGTTCACATCCTAATTCATCTAAGATCTTGAATCTTGCATGAAGTAGGACTCTTACTCCTACGAAGGCAAGAAAAACAAGTATTTTTTATTTACTGGAATTCTACCATTATGGACTCAAAGTTCTACTAGGATTTGAAGATCTTATGTCTACTATATAAGCAGAGGTCTTGCCTCTCATTAAGCATCCATTATTCAATACCATCTATTAGTTCATAAAGTTCTTGCTCCTAAAACTAGCACTTTCGCCATAGCTTTAATCTCCAATTAGATTCCGGTAACCCTTCTTCTCTATTAGACTAGGTGCCCTAGAGCCAATCAATTATTGTAGAATTTTGTAATAACTGCTTACTACTACTATACTCATAAAAATATGTATAATAAAATACGAGTACATTACTAAAAATAGTTGGGCCCAAATTTTCTTTTATTTAATATACATATTCTTTTACAAAAGTCAGTATCCTTTCCAAAAGTTCTCAAAAGTGTGGTGGACAATGTAACTACTCCTCCTTGCCCACCGACATCCATCCGATTGCGTCCTCATCTAGAACCTACAAAAACATAGAAAACAACGGGATGAGCAAAATAATGCTCAGTAAGTAAATCCTCTACTCGTCTATCCCCGTAACTCTTTCTCTTCTCATTTCTGTTCTGTTTCTATTTCTGTTTCTCATACTCTTTTCTAGCTATTCTCTGGTGTATGTCACGGCCTCATCTTACTGGAGGCACGGCTGGGGACTCAACCCACTCTTCGTGACTCTACTTATTTTCTCTTTCTGTTCTTTCTATTTCTTTGCTTTCTCATTCTACTCATTGGACCGTCACGACCTCATCTTACCGGAGGCACGGCCGGGAACTCTCCCGTATGTGACTTTTACTCATTTATGTACCGATCAGATTTGGTTATGCATGGATTCGGAACCCTTGGCCATGTGAGTGTACATTCTTTCTCTCTATCTCTCGAATGTCACGACCTTTTCTTATCGGAAGCACGCCAGAACCTCCTGTTCCACTCTTCGTGATGGTCAGACCTCATCTGACCGGAGGCACGGCTGGGAATCACAAAGCACCCACTCTCTTGACTTTACTCATCACTCACGGGTTCCCCATCGCACAACCTACTCTATTATCTTCTTTACCTCTTAGAGTAGTTTAAGCACAAAGGTCTATACTCTTTCTCAAGCTAATACTCATCGGCCACTTGCTTTTCTTTAACTTCTTCAAGTAAAGTAGACTGGATCTCTAACCTGGCAATCCGTCTCGGAATTACTTCAATATGCTCTCTACACAACTCTGCTATTAACTCTTTCTGCTTAGTGAGCTGAGACAAATAAACTTTTCTACTCAAGGCATCGACTACTACAATGGCTTTCCTCGGTTGATACTTGATCTCACACTCATAATCTTTAACCAGCTCCAACCACCTTCTCTGTCTCATATTCAGCTCCTTCTGAGTGAAGAAGTACTTTAAACTCTTATGATCGGTGTAGATATTACTCTTGGCACCATAAAGGTAATGCCTCCAAATCTTTAATGCGAAGACCACGGCTGCCAACTCTAAGTCATGCGTAGGGTATCTCGTCTCATACTATTTTAATTGCCGAGAGACATATGCTATCACCCTACCTACATGCATTAACGCAGCACCAAGTCCTTGCAAAGAGGCATCTGTATAAATATCATAGTCTACACCCTCCTGTGGTAACACTAACACGGGAGCTGTCGTTAACCTCTTCTTCAACTCTTGAAAACTCTCCTCACATGCTTCTGACCATGTAAAAGGAGTTCTCTATTTGGTAAGAGCTGTCAACGGTTTAGCCAATTGGGCGAACCCTGCTACAAACCACCGTTAGTAACCTGCTACGCCCAAGAAACTTTTAACCTCTTTCACTATCTTCGGCCTTTGCCACTCAAGAATTGCCTTGACTTTACTCGGATCTACTGAAATCCCTTCCTTAGACACAGTATGACCCAAAAATAATACTTGATCCAGCCAAAACTCACACTTGGAAAACTTAGCATACAACTTCTTTTCTTTCAATCGTTGCAACACTAATCTCAAGTGTTCTCATGCTCTTCTGTAGACTTGGAATAAACCAGGATATCATCTATGAAAACCGCTATAAACTGATCCAAACAATCATGGAATACCTAGTTCATCAAGTCCATAAATACTGCTGGGACATTTGTCAAGCCAAAAGGCATCACTACAAATTCATAATGCCCATACCTTGTACGGAAAGCAGTCCTTGCTACATCTTGATCAGCCACTCTTAATTGATAATACCCTGACCTCAAATCAATTTTGGAGAACATTGCTGCTCCTTTCAACTGATCAAACTGATCATCAATATGAGGTAACGAGTACTTATTCTTCACTGTTACTTTATTCAGCTCTCTATAGTCTATACACATCCGTAGTGACCCATCTTTCTTCTTCACAAACAAAATTGGAGCTCCCCAGGGAGAATGACTTGGTAGGATAAAGCCTTTATCTAAAAGCTCTTGGAATTGCTTCTTTAATTCTTGAAGCTCTGCTGGTGCCATTCGATAAGGGGCTTTAGATATTGGTGCTGTTCCTAATGCTAGTTCAATACTAAACTCAACCTCTCTCTTTGGAGGCAAACCCGGCAACTCTTTTGGAAACACATCTAGAAACTCTCGAACTACTGGCACCCTCTGAATCTCTGACTGAGGAACATCACCACTCTGCACTACATGTGCAATATACCCTGAACACCCTTTTCTTAACATCTTTCTAGCTTTCATGCTACTAATCAAGATACTCAACTGATGGCCATCTCCAAAGCTAAACTTGTCTCCATTATCAAGATTAAATCTCGCTTTCTTTTTCCGACAATCAATCTCTACTCCATTCCTCCCTAGGAAATCCATGCCCAATATTACATCAAAGTTGGGCATATCGAACACTATTAGATCTACTGCTAATTCGCGTCATGGATCACTACTGACTCTCCTGATAACATCTCATGGGTCACAACACTAACCCCATCGGGTAACTCTATCTTAATGGGTTGATTCACTCTAATAGGTTTCAAACCTAGTCTCTCTATCATCCCATAAGATATAAAAGAATGAGTGGCTCCAAAATCAATTAAAGCATATAAAGGAATATAATGGAATAATAACTGACCAGTTATAGCTGATGGACTGGCCTCTGCTTCACCTTGTGCCACTGTAAACACTCTGGCACTAGTACCTCTAGAACTCTGAATTGGTGATGGGAGAGGAACTTTACAATCCCTTCTCAAGTGCTCTGGCTGTCGGCACTGATAACACACGTTCTGGTCTCTCAAACACTCTCCTGAGTGGTTCCTCCCACATTTAGGACAAGGGGGAAACCCTTCTGTCTGAGGTCGTTTACTCCTCCAATCCCTTCTATTCTGTCTAAGCTGAAACTTCTTTTTATTACTCTTTA